TTGGACAGATTTCGACGATACAAATTCATAGATTGTAAAACGACATTTCTTTGAAATTCTTTTAATTTTAAAAGAAATTACAAGAAGTATTTTAATTTTAAAAGAAATTAAAAGAATTAGATACGATTATTAAGATACGATTAATTGTCATTGCTACATATCAAATGTTCTATATAATATCTCAATTTCTACATTCAACAGATTTCATCAGATAACGATGGAATAAAGACGAAGTACATGTATTTATCACAATTCATATTGCTTTGTGCATAAAACCGTACTATTCCGAAATTATAATATTTATAACATTTCTTTTAAATGACAGTTAGAATGGTGTACTTGACAACCAATTTCAAGGTCATTATAACTAGCGTGTTATGTTCTTTTATTACCTAATTTCTTTATGAAACTTAAAACATTTTAAACCTTTGAAATATTATCTCGATCGATTTCACACAAAAAATTGTGATTGACATTGAAGTAAATTGTCAGCGTCATCATTCTAAGCTTTTCCTGATACGTAATGATAAATGCTCTATTTTAGTGTCTGAGTGATACTTGTGAAGTTATATTGTGTAAATATTCTCACGATGACGTGTGATCAATGAAAAAGTAATAGAAAGTCTAGTCATAAAATTCCCAGTGAAATAAGTTCAAGGAAACAATAGATAAACTTTCTGTAGATATTACAAAAAATGTTATGAAACAATACCCTTGAACTTTCTCAAAGCTAACAGTAAATATTTGTAAAATGCAGTTTTTACGAGTTTCTTTATTTAAGATCGTAATTGGATTCATTTCAAAATGACGGTCTTCGTACGAAAGACAAAACGTCAATAATTTGTGGGTTACTAAAAAAAGAACTATTCCACTGTTTTCAATGTATTTTGTAAACTAGTTTGCCGAATGCAGAAAATATCCGAACAACCGAATACAAACAGTAACATATTCGTAGGATAATCTTACTGCAAAAATAAAATTTTATTTTTGAGCTTCTTGTTATGAAACATCTATCAATATATTTGTGACATTTTCCTGATTAAAATGAGTCTAAACACGACGTAATTCTGAGTATATTTACTTGTAATTTCAAGCATTTCACTTATGCAGTAAAGTTTAGATATAAGCGAATCTTCGAGTCTGAACTTCCGCCTATCGTATAGTTCCGACATTGACCGAGGTTTACCGAACGCAAAAGGATAGCGCGCGACGAAAACACCCGAACGGTCGAAGGTAAACAATACAATATCAGTGTGACAATTCTAATGCAAAAATAAAACCTTTCGTTTTTATAGTCAGCACTTTATACACTATCATGTAATAAACATACATTATCTAACAATACAAATGTTTAGTAATATTTTAAAATTTAGTGAAATGAAAACTGTTTTGTTTCACTTTAAAAATACTTTTGATACGTATACTTTTGCGTATAATTATAAAACTAAAACAAAGTATTCATTTATAATAAAAAATTGTTCTGATCGACGATATATTTGTTTAACTTAACAATATATAATTACATACAAATATTGACAATATATTTCGTCGAAGTTGGTAATAAGATAACTTCAACATTTTTACAAACGAGTGAATTATTGAGTAATATTTTCAAAAATTTTTGACATTACAATTTTTGTACTAATAGGTTGAAAGTTTAACACGAATGAGTAATCGTTGACTTTAGATATTGGCTTAACAATGTATAATTGCCATTTATGAGGAAAGATACCCTATACTAACGATTTATTAAAGATAAGTCAATGAATTCTGAAGAAAATTAATTTACATTCCTTAATTACTTGGGAAATACCATAGGAGCTGGGTCAGGGTTAAAGGAAATGCTGTGTATATGTTCAAAGATTTCGCTAAAATTTATAAAATGGCTAAAAATGCTAATATTGTGTTGAAAATTAAATTCGAAATTAACTAAAGCAATTTTGTCGACATAAACTGATTTTTAAATTCTACAAAATTAACAATAAATTAATTATTAAAAGATAATTTTTTTATATTTATATGTATAGATAAAATAATTTTTAGAAAAAAAATACGCCGACTTCGAAATGCACTAAAAAATATAAAATAATTTCTATTTCCTAATGAAGTAATTTCTATTTCATTCAATCATACAATTACGTAACAGATATGAATGAAACCTATTTACTCGGTAGGTATTATATTAAATACATTTCATCCTTTTCGGAGGCGGCGCAAAATTAAATAACATATTCAAAATAA